CCCCAAAACCCCAAAACCCCAAAACCCCAAAACCCCAAAACCCCAAAACCCCAAAACCCCAGCTGGGCTGATTTTAATTGAAATAAAGTAGAAGATTATTAATATAAATATGTCCAAGCAAGGAAGTCCAGAAAGACAAAGAATCCCTAAAGCAGGATTTCAGTCTAAACTCTCAAGGTTTTCACCTACAGGGAAAAGACTTCTCACTAGCAGTAGTCAGAAGCGAAAGAGAGTATTCAAGAGGCCAAGAACAACCAATTCTGTTAAGAGAATTATCATACAGAAGTAATTCTTAATTTTCTATTTTTGAAAAATATTAGGAATTTTGAAAAAATCTGTGGATTTTCTAATCTTTTAAGAAAGTTTTCTAATGTTAGTGAAATTTTATTGTTGCTGAACCTCTATAATCATTTAGAAATAATGATGTAAGTGCAAGAAAGGATATCAAGAAGACAAAATTTGCCCCTTCTGAGAACCTTAAGCGTATTGCCTTGTCAAAGTCAAGAATTCCTTCCAGGAAAACCCAGAGAGGAACTTCAAGTAAACCTTATGATTAACAATAGGTGATTATTTTAACAGAGTTGCTCACCAGCATAAAACCTCACTTCAAAAGAGGCCAATGACACAGAATTCTGGCAGGAGGTCTATTCACCGAAATATGTCTGCTGCAAAGGTTTTTAAGAAAACCAATATCTCAACTGAGGAGTCTAGGCAGATCAAAACTGCCTGGGGAACTATGTCAAACAATTTTTCAACAGCAAAGATTGACATGAGTCAACTGTATAGGTCTATTTTATATATAGAGGTTGTTATACAGAAAGGAATCAGAACAACACTTTAATCAGAAAAAGATTGAGCGATGCCTCCCGAAACCAAAACACACAGTAATCTTTAGGTTAACAACTACTCGTATAGACTAGCTAGCTCTACTATAGGAGAGAATTTGACGTTGATGCCTACATTTGACCACATTTTATCGAGAAATGCGTTGCCAACGCCAATAGATGATAAATAAATATGCCACATTAGAAAATTGCAAAGACCAAGTAAGGATCTGATTTCAAATCTAGATCAAAATTTGTGCTTCAAGACTTCACGGAATTGCTGAATCTTCTAAATACGAGATTCAGGAAAGAACTGTAAATATCCTAAATATCAACTCTTTGAAGGTGGCTTATTTTAAAATCCACTGTTATGGAAGACAGTCTCCTCTTTCAATCAAAATAATTCAGGATAAAATAAGACCGACTCCTGGTATCTTGACAATGTAAGTTGACCTAACACTAACCATTTCTAGATATACATCCTTTCATAAGGAGTTTCCGGACGGCTTAGAAAATGATAGTATGTTTACAGATGGGAAGAACAAGATTTATGCTCCTAAAAATGCTAGAACATTTAACAACGACTACTGCTATTTCTCAGTCCTGTCAACTATCCGTGCAACATTTTGCTGTGTGTATTATTTCAGTACGGTAAATCCTATCTCGCTTGTCTGGGATAAGGACATTGGATCCTACAAGATCGGAGACGGTGGTCAAGTAGAGGTAAAAGTTCCAAGAAATCCAGAGAAATGGCTCAGTATTGGGGAAAGAAACGAGAACTATATCAAACAATGCCTCGAGTCCGAACCTGGGTACAAAATGCTCGAGGAAAAGACAAAAACTATCTTCTCAGACAGAGATAAGTATTTCCAGAAAATGAGAGCTGTTAACAGTCAGAAGAAGTTAAAAGGTAAGTTTCTCTACTATTCCAACTTATTTGAGCCATTTTATCTAATGATTTAGTCAAGAAATATTACAACAAGATTATGCCAGAAGGAATGTCCATTCAGGAATATAAGGTACATCCTCTTGACGATTTTTAGATCAGCATGGCAAGGAAGCGTAAAGAGGAAAAAGAGCAAAATATGAGGAAAAGAATGATCTTTATGGCAAATAAATGGGATTATATCAAAGAAGAAAACCTGAAAGCTAAAGCCATACAGGACAAAATTAAGAGTGAGCGGAATTATGTTAAGATATGGACTGGTTTCAAAGCTCTACATAATGGCATCAAGAACCTAAGTCATATTTTTGGGATAAAGAAAGTAGAAGAGATCAAGAGAGCAAGATCCTTGCTGATAGCTAATAAGATCAATTATTTATTCAAAAAGAAGCAAATGAGGAAAGGTAGTAATTTGTCAACTAGACTAATGGATATTGCTAGGCATTCGTTAGTGCTTACCAACCAAGTACTGGAACAAAACTGTCACCTCAAAGCTAAAAGAATACTTGTCCACTTTATGAAAGACCTCAAGTGGAAAAGAACTCTCTCGGTCAATTGTATTGACTGTTGGGCCCAGATTCTAAAAGTGAGGCATAGATTCCTACACATTATAAAAATGACCAGGGAGAGGATGTCTTTCCTGACCGAGAAATGGGAGGAACAGAAGAGTTTGCTCATTAACGAGTATGAAAAAGATATTATCCAGCATAAATCCAAGACTGCTAGGAAGATGCGGAAATAAGATCAGAGATATCAAGGATGGCTTGCGATACATCTGCCTGAAGCTCTACCTCAACCAATGTAGGACAGAGCACAATATCGCCTTCTTTGAATGGAGGAAGAACTTCAAAGAGGAAGCTAAGGAACTTATCAGCAAATATTCTGATAAATTGAGACGTAAAATAGAAGAAGAGGATAATAAGGTGGAAGACCGTCAGGAGCTGGACAATGAACTTCTTGGGTTTAATTTGGGACAGAAGGATGAAAGTTTAGAAGAGCTGAGTGCCTCTTTGGCTACGAATGCTGGAAAGAAAAGTAGGGTTTTGAGAGTTTAGAGGTGTTTCTAAGGGGATATAATGAATTCTGATGGTTTGGAAGAGGATTTTAGACTATGGGGTGTGATAATGAGGTTGGATATAGAGAAGAAAAATAAGAAGCAAAGTTTGAAATTGCTATCTGTTTTGGATAGGTAGATATATTTTTATAAAAATATAGGCTAAAAATACGGGATGACCCAGACGAGCATTTTGAAATAGGTACATCCTTTCATAATTTCTAGATGATCTAAATATGATTGGAATTAAATCTGATGCAGAACCCAGAAAAAGAAAATAGAAGAGGATCAAAGCTTTTTAAGAGCTCTCCTGGCAAAGGAAAAATACTTTCAAGCATTGCAAAGAATAATTCGGTACCAAAATAATGTCAGAGAAGAAGATTTCTTCCTCACTAACCTCGACATGCCCTCTAAAAGGATGGCTGGGCAAACTTTTTATAAAACGTAAGACCTTTCTATAAAATTTAGAAATAAATTTGAATTTGGTCAGAAACAGGTATGGCTTTTAACTTAATTACTATTAGGAACAAGGTGAAAAACATCAGATTTACAATGAAAAGGACTTGATAAATACAGGAACTGGCTATAAGATGCCTCCAAGGTTCCTCTGGATTCCTTCGAATCATTTGATTAGAGTGGCTATCGTCCGAATTTGCTTTATCAAAGATATGGGTAAGACTCCCTTCTTAAGTCTAGAACAATTCTTAGAGGATAATATGAAAGTCAAGTGAGAAGTCACAGCTGAAGGAATTGAAATCCTTAAGCCTACTATAGAAACAGTAGCTAAGAATTTGTAGAGAGTTCAATGCATTCTTAAAAGGCTGGGGTTTTGGGGTTTTGGGGTTTTGGGGTTTTGGGG